GTCAGGGGTATTGTTTGATTACTGCGGAGGAAGATTTTACCATGTGACTTGCTATCGACGTCAGCCGATCAGCTCGCTTCTCCCTCCTAAAATCTTACTCACCCATTCTTTTCTAGCTAATTTAGAACTCACACAGCTCTACTGATATAAAAAAGCTTGGACCTAGCACGGCTGCATGGGAGGGGAAACTGGTGCACCAGTGGAAGTCAGCTCCAAAGCTTGCCCGAAAGCAATGGCTACCCCCTATTCTCTCGTCCCGCTAGGTCCAGCGCTATCACTACTCTCCGCCTCACTTTCCGGTTCAGTATCTATTTCACCCTTCTGTTTTGATACCCATAATTTTAATGAATCCAGTGTATCTTCTTTCGGATTTTTAGTTAATTTTTTATGAAAATTTGATCGCAACCCCCTTCTTATGGTTGATAGCAAGTTCCCGGATTTCCTCGGCCACCTTTGGATACAACCTTGCCATAGACCGCTTTTCTTTTCTTTGAACAGGGCATCAATATCTTCCCAGAGATCGGAAATAGTGCCAGTATAATTTTCAGGCGTTTTTGACGTGCCAGGTCCGGCATTACTACTTCTCGCGACCCCATCTCGGACTTCGCGAATGTCATAACCAAGATGTTTTACGGTTTCAGATAAACCAGAGATAATTTTTTGAGGGAGAAATTCATTTTCTCGTCGAATCGCTTTTCGGTATTCCCAGAATCGTATCTGGTTACGGTATATAGAAACAGTGTTTGAACGAACATGATGATGGCGAGTAGTAAAAATCAGAAGTGGATGAGAACATTTTGAATGTATTGTTTTTCAGGATTTTGTACGGAATAATAGCAAAGTTTTTGTAGAATAAGAGATTTGTGGGCGATAGATTTGACCCGCGACATGTATACATTTACATTAATTGAAAATTAAGCATGCGTAAAATGAAACAATGCAGTACAAAAAACTGATTCACAACTCTGTTTAAATGATTGGTTTGAAAATAATCGTTTGGGGCGTAGTCAATCCACGCCACGGCAAAGCCAAAGTGGCTGCTGGAAGATAATTTGATAATTTTTCGCAAGGGAATTTGTTGACTTCTGCGATAAAACAGTATGATTAGCAGGACACTCACAGCTGGAACCCTAAGTTTTAACGTTTCCCTCGAGACGCGTACGTATACTCGATAAGTAGAAAACTACTATTTTCAATAACAGGGGGCTGAGGGATCTCAAAAGCTTCTTTCGCTAAAAACCTAATAAAATAATTAAATCACAACCAAAAAACCTACTGTGTTTTTTATAGACTTCAGCTCCAGACTACAGAATATGTAACATTAGCGAACGCGATCACAATAACTAGCGAAAATGAACCCAATTATGTATGGTTCGGTACATCTGTGCTGAAATCCTAAGTAACTAATTCGTCGCTTCATTATGGGCTCGAACGCAAAACAACATTCGTGTTGGGTAATTTATTATGGTTAATGAACTAACTATCTCAGCTAATGAATTGGGAATCAAAATCTAGCTAGCTCGCGATTGGAATTTTCCATATCACATGATTAATAAACGCGACTCTTTATTTTACGAAAAATGTCTTGAAAACGATGACTTATATAAACAATAATTCTTTCTTTTTTTCTTTGGGATGGAAGGGGGAGGGGCTTTACAATGATAATGATATTAATAATTCTTTCAATATCCTCAGGTTTAAAACCTTTCCTCTGGTTCCATAAGATTTTGCGGGTCATCCCAATGTCATCGTCATCTTTCAATCGGGTGGCTAGTTCGTTTTTGACTCTTTGTTTAACTTTACTGACTTTTCTTGCCAGGGAATTTTGGGAGTTTGGTTGATGATCTCATGCGGAAAACGCAAAGCCCACTTCCTGTGTTTTGGCTAACAGCGCTAGTGACAACACAGTCATAATCAATCATGTGACCGAAAAATAATAATCTGATGAAGATCTTAAAAAAATTTTTCTCGTTATTACCGAGTCGAAAACCAATTCAATTTGAACATCAAAAGGTATACCCGCGTTGGACGAAACAATGGAAGGTACCTAGTTTATACTCTTTTATTAGCGCGTTTTGGTTTTTTTTCTCAGCGCGTTTTGGTTTTATTCTCAGCGCGTTTTGGTTTCTATTCTCAGCGCGTTTTGGTTTCTGCTTTCCTCTCTGATTATAAAAATTTTCCTTGTTGACAAGAATCCCAATAATAGATCCTACTTACTTCACTACTGAACGCGATTGGTCTTTACTGAGTTTTCTATACTACCGCCAAAAATGTAGTGATTTTCTGTCCAACAAAATGGAGGAGCATGATCGATATGCCCGCAACTTAATGAGCATAATAGGGCTATGAAAAAGCTCCCACATCTATTGTGAAACGGGCCGTCAAGGCGCTTGGGTTTGATGCATGTTAAGTGTTTTCTCGCTCCATCACACCAAAGTGCAATTGGAAAGCACATTCTGTTTAGCAGTGGACGGGTCTGAAGGGTGATAGCCCTTTGGATGGGGTTACGGCCTGCGTTCAATCACCAAACACTCCCTGTTTACGGACGGGAAGTGTATGAGTTACGGCTCGTGGTGGTTCTGTCCTTGCAACTGGAGTTGCATGGAGTTGTGACTCATAATAGTTTAACATTTGGTTAATTTGGCTTTTACTAATGTCAGATCCAACGATTAACGATAATAATCTTCCGTGATTTCGTTTTTATAGGATCTTTATTGACAACTACGGAAAACCGCTAAAGCTGCTTTTAGACAGCTAGTACATTA